GGGTAAATGCAGAAATGGCTGGGCAGGGAGCCCACTGCTCTGGGAAATTCTCCCCTAGAAAAGAAGCATGCAAGGCCAAAATGGAGCAAACCCCTACAGTAGGCTAGGACGAGAAACGCAAGTTCCCGTCAGCAGATCGGTCTGGCTAACAACGCCTTGACTGCGGTGCAGAAGGGTCACGTGCTGTCTCCCAAACCACAGGCACGGCAGGGCGGCCGCCTGGCTCCTGGTTGGGGAGCCCACTCCAGAGTGACTCAGGCACTCCAGAAAGTTCATGGAATAGGAAGCCAAAAGAGAAGTTTATTTCAGCGCAAAAATGTTTTGAAATCCATGCATACAAGAGTTCTTTCAAACAGCTCATGGGAAATGCATATTGTGGGGAAAGCTGTGCATGGATTTCAAAGTTTTTTGCATCAAAATGAAACTTCTTTAAAATTTGAAATGCAAAGAGAGAGAGAGAGAGAGAGAGAGAGAGAGAGAGAATCTTCCATCAATTGGTTCATTCCCCTGAGAGCCTGCAGAGCCTGCAACAGCCAAGGCTGGGCCAGGATGAAGCCAGGAACCTAAGCCCTTGGGTGCCTCCCAGGCACATTAGCAGGAAGCTGGATTGGAAGCAGAAGAGGACTCAATCTCTAGCATTCTGATATACAATGCAGGCTTCCCACGCAGTGGCCTTACCTGCTGTGCCACAACACCCACCCCTGAACTTACCCTTTAGTGCTATTTCTCCCTGAACACCCTGGAATGCCCCCGGTGTGCACAGCCCAGGCTGGTGGTGAGGTAGAGCATCCGGCTGGGCTCAGCCACCTGCTCCTTCAAGTCCGCCTCCACCTTTCTCCCCTACGTGCATGAGAAGAGACAGATTGCCCCAAGGAAGAGGAAAGCAAATGCTGGCAGGTTGGCTGAGGTACCGGAGGCGTGACTGCTGCTCCGGGTATGGCCCGTGAGCATGCAGACTTGGTGCTACAGCCCACTTGGCAGGACTGCTGCTTTCCATCAAACTCAGAATAACACGGTGGGTCCATTCCCTACTGCAGCAGATACCAGTTCAGCAACAGCACAGCTGTTGATTTAATTCATGGAGGGCTTCCTCCTGGGCCAGGTTGTGTGCTAGATGCTCCTTCTTATTTAACTCTCGTATCTGCCCTGTGGGTTAGGTACGGATATTATCTGCAGTGTCTCCAAACCTCTGCACGGACAGGCTAAGGCACTTCCCCAAGCTCACGGGACCTGGCGGAGCCCAGCTTCTGCTAGTACAGCACCGAGTCTCCACTTTGGAGGGCTGATTCCCTGTGTAATGACTGTTGAAAGCGAGGAAGCACTCCAGCTAGTGGTGCCAATATTCCCTTCTGGAGAGTTCTGTCCTTAGCGCTCACAGGCACCTGCTTTCTGTCGTTGCTACATTGAACATGACCATGAGACCAAGTCGCCCTCAGAACTGGAAGTCTGGACTGCACTAGGAATCAAAGGGCTACTTTCTGGGTGCCTCCCAGACACTGGCAGCACTGAACACAGGCAGCAGAGAGGCCCAGAGGAGGGTGTGTGTGTGTCTGTGTGTCTGTGTGTGTGCGTGTGTCTTTGTGTGTCTGTGTGTGTGCGTCCTCCTCCCTCTGCCCAGCCAGCAAGTGGTGGAGCTGCTGCAGTATTTGATTCCCTGCCACGATCTCTACCCTGTTCCTCCTGGAGGCCCCTCCCTCCCTGCTCCCTGCTCAGACCCCACCACCACCACTTCCTTCTGACACACAGGTCAGCTGTTTGCTTAGCTCTCCCTCTTGACTCTGGCCTTCTGCATTTTGGTCTTTGTATGCGTGGGCAACTGCCACAATCATCTTGTGTAACAGAGGGGCCTACAACACAAGAGTTTTCTCACCGGTGGGCCTGGAGACCAGTCAGAGCTGGCTCCTGGGTGCAGCTCACGTTCAGATCCACCCCCTGGAATCTGACTTCCCCGGGGGGGGGCAGCTGCCCGAGGTGTGTTCTTCTGGTATCAGATGGCACCAGAGGCCTCCGTCTGATATTGTCACACTGTCACTTCCACCCTTCCTGAGTTTCCACCCTTCCTGAGTTTCCCAGGGGGAAACTCGCAACCAGTGCGATGAGGTCACACCCCCTCGGCACAAGTGGGAGAGAACACAAAGGCACAGGGCTCGGGGTGCCGCTGTGCAGTTCTAGTCCGGGAGGCTGGGCTAAGTCGACAGCAATGATTTAATCCTGAGCTTTGTCTTCAACAGCTCCTCCAAGGCATCTGGGGCTGGGGGAGGGGTGGTCCCTGTTGCTTTACCCGTGGAGGAAAAAAATGCCTCCCTCCTCAGTCTTCTCCCCCTCCCGAGATACCTGCGGTCCACGCCTGTGACAATGGGGCTGCCCGCTGCTCCATACTGGGCTTTGGGGAGAGCAAGGCGCCTGCTGCCCCGCTGCCCACCTCCTCAACCCACACATCTGCAGGCTCTCATGCTCTGGATACTTCGCCCCGGGGCGTGTTTGCCCGACACACTTCCACCTTTGCAAATCCCTTTTCTGCTTTCTCACCCTCTGGCACAATTCTAAGCCAGATGTGCCTTCTCTGGAGGATGGGACGAGCCTTCCAAATTCCAGATGTCCCTGGCTTGGCCAGGCAGGATTCAGGCTCAGGGGGCGGGGGAGGGCGGGAAAGAGGCGGAATTGCAGACTGAACACATTTTTTAAAAACAGACACGCTTTCGTGTATAAAACCAACACTTTTCGGCAGAAATCTTTCAGAGCAGATGTGGACGAGAACTCTGACATCCTCACTGACAGCAGCACCCCTCCCACGTGGCTTCCACTTATTCCAAGAGATGTTCAGGCCACCTGCCAGCCCTTGGTCGGCTCCGCGTAAGCGGAAGGAAGGCAGGGCTGGCTGTGACGCTAACTGCCGCCTCCAGCTGGAGACCACAGTAGGACACTGAGACGCGTGCTGCAGGGCAGTGTCTCACAGGGACTGTGGGAAGTCAGAGAAAACCGGTGACAGCAGTCTTCCAGGCACGAGAGCCAGCTGGGGGCTGCGATCACACGGTTGAACACTCACACGGCATACAGAGAATCGGGTGGCACGTCGCTCGCGTGGTGCTCAGGGTCACGGCCAGGCCATTGCATAGCCAAAGCCCGAGACTGTACGAGAGAAAGCTGGAATGGTCAGACTCACAGTGGCAGAAAGTACAACGGTGGTAGCTGCCGGCTGGGGGAGGGAAGACGGGGCGGGGGTTCGTGCTTAGGGGTGCAGAGCCTCAGTTAGGTTGACGCAAGAGTTCCAGAGATAAATAGTGGTGACGGTTGCACAACAGTGTGGACGCAAATTTTAAGATAGTTAAAATGGCAAATGTTATCTATATTTTATATTAAAATATGCAAGTAGAATGTTTTTTAAGTCCATACCACTGGAGAAACCCTTCGGATGCGTTCACCTATGTGCACCTGTTATACTTCCATGACAAACGCTGAAATGGCAGGAAAATAAGTAAGAAAATGAGAGAGAAATAAAGAAATGCTATGAAGAAAATGACACAGGGTGAAGGCATGCAGAATGCAGGAGGCAGAGACGGGGCTCAGGACACAGAACTTGGTAGACTATGCTGTGAATTTAACTCTCCTAAGAACATCAGGAAGAAATTTTACACATTTTCTTTTTGGATGGGGAGTGCAGGGAGAGATTAAATTAAAATCAAGAACTCAGTACAGTGTGTCAACTATCTACACCTCAATATATTTGTCTATTATGACAAATTGGAAAAAGCTACCTAAGGGTAAATAGGGTTCTCATTTCCAATTAAAATTTCATTTCAGCAAACTTCAAGGCTTTTCATTTAGCATTTATTTATTCTATTTTAATATCTTTTTTTTTTTTTTTTTTTTTTGACAGGCAGAGTGGACAGTGAGAGAGAGAGACAGAGAGAGAAAGGTCCTCCTTTTGCCGTTGGTTCACCCTCCAATGGCCGCCGCTGCAGCCGGCGCACCGTGCTGATCCGATGGCAGGAGCCAGGATCCAGGTGCTTTTCCTGGTCTCCCATGGGGTGCAGGGCCCAAGCACCTGGGCCATCCTCCACTGCACTCCCTGGCCATAGCAGAGAGCTGGCCTGGAAGAGGGGCAACCGGGACAGAATCCGGCGCCCCGACCGGGACTAGAACCCGGTGTGCCGGCGCCGCAAGGTGGAGGATTAGCCTATTGAGCCACGGCGCCGGCTATTTTAATATCTTTTAAAAATTTCAGTTGCAAAGTTTTTGCATGAAAAACAAAGGAATAGATCTTTATTAAAAGCCAAATAAAATATTTATATTATATGTGTATGTGTGATATACATATGCTCATATATACACACCTATGAGGGTATGTCAAAAAGTTACAGAAAATGGAATTAAAAGGTACGTTTATCTTGGTGCAAAATCTTTTGAAATTCATTCATATGAGGACCTTCAAAGAGTTCATGGAAAATATATAATATGAAAAGCCTGTGCATGGATTTCAAAAAAATTTTGCAGCAAAATAAATAACTTTTAATTCCATTTCCACAAATCCTTCTTTTTAAAGATTTATTTGTTTAAAAAAAAAAAAAGATTTACTGGGGGCGGTGCCATGGCGCAGTAGGTTAATCCTCCACCTACAGCGCTGGCACCCCATATGGACACCATTTCGAGTCCTGGCTGCTCCTCTTCCAATCCAGTTCTCTGCTACAGCCTGGGAAAGCAGTAAATGGCCCAAGAGCTTGGGCCCCTGCACCCTCATGGGAGACACAGAAGAAGCTCCTGGCTCCTGATCGGCACAACTCTGGCCATTGTGGCCATTTGGGGAGTGAACCATCAGATAGAAGACCTCTCTCTCCATCTCTCCCTCTCGCTGTCTATAACTCTACCTCTCAAATAAATAAATAGATAAAATCTTTAAAAAAGATTTATTTATTTTGTTTGAAAGGCAAAGTGACACAGAGAGGGAGAGACAGAGATCTTCCGTCTACTGGTTCACTCCCCAGATGGCCATAATGGTCAGGACTGGGCCAGGCTGAAGCCAGGAGCCGGGAGCTTCAACCAGGTCTCTCAGGTGGGTGCAGGGCCTCAAGTACTTGGGCCATCTGCTGCTGCTTTTCCATAGCAGAGATCTGGATCAGAAGTGGAGCAGCCGGGACTGGAACTGTCGCCCACATGGGATGCCGGCACTGCAGGCAGTGGCTTAACCCGCTACACCATAGCGCCGGCCCCTCCCACAAACCTTTTAAAGTACCCCCATATAATTGTATATTAATGTATATGCATGTGTGTATATGTGTGTGTACGTATATATGTGTGTGTTTATTTGAAAGAAAACAATTTCCTTTAAGCTGTAATGAATCACAGGTAATCTTTTTAAAAGTCCATAACCACGTGTACTGCTGGATTTTGGCTTTGACTTAGGACTCAGCCAAAATCAGAGCCAGATCTGTGAGAACTACAGGGGTGAGGGGGAACTGTGCGGCTGAGACCCCAGGAAGCCAGCCTCAAACCACATTGCAGGCAACGGAAGCTCTTGTGACCCACCCTCCTCCGCCTCTCCTCTGTGTCCTGCTCCCCCCCCTCCCCCGCCCCAGCTCCTCAGATCTGAGCTCTTCCTGAGTCAACACTGTGTGAGGGGAAAAAAATGTCCGGTGTCTTTCAGGCATCATGTTTCCGTGAGCCGGCTCCCAAGCCATGAATTACGGGCGTCTTTCCCTCCGGCTGCCAAGTGCCATCTAATACCTCCCATTTGTCATCCGGCACAGTCCCCAGCTGGGGGAGGACTGCAGCAGCATCCGCTGAGCCGACACCTGGGCTGAGCGATGTCCCGGTCACCGGCCCGCCTGTCACTGACAAGGACTGGCACACACAGGGCTTTTGTGGGCTTTGCTTCAATCTTCAGGCCCGGCTGCCCCTCGGCCTTCACCTCTAGGGTCCTGGAAGGTGAAGGAAGAGACACAATCAGCTGGGCTGACAGCTCCTACCCGTGTCCCAGAGAGCAACGGCCACCCTCAAGTTCCCCTGGGACGAGCTGAGAGGCGCTTGGGGCCAGAAGCAAAGGGGCAACCTCAGCTTGGGTTTTGTTGGCCCCATTTCACACGGCCCAGGAGCCTCTGGATGGGCCCTCTAGCCCCTGCCGCCTGGAAACACAGATGCAACACTGCTGCGACACCAGCACCCCACATCACCACGCTGGTTCGAGTCTTGGCTGCTACGCTTCTGATCCGGCTCCCTGCCAATGTGCCTGAGAAAGCAGCAGCAGAGGGCCCAAGTGCTCCTCCCATGTGGGAGACCAGAAGGAGTTCCAGGCCCCTGGCTTCAGTCTGCTCCAGCCCCGGCTGTTGCAGCCATCTGGGGAGTGAACCAGCAGATGGAAGACCTCTCTCTGTCTCTCTCTTCCTCTCCCTCTCTGTCATTCTGCCTTTCAAATAAATAAATAAATCCTTAACAAAGAAAAAAATCAACAACAACACTGCTGCCCAGCCAAGCTTCCCCTCCGGGAACTTCGGACTCTGCCTGGACGTCTCTTCCCCTGCCCGCCTCCCCCACCTCGCTGCCCCAGCCCGGAGCCAGGCTGCTGCACCACGGGGTCCACGGGCGGCGGGGAGCTGGGCCTGCTTGCCTCTCTCTGTCCCGCACACCCTGAGGGCGAGGCCTCCTCAGCCTAGCCTGGCACACAGCAGCCGTCCCAGAAACACCTGTGCTCTCCTGTCACATCGGCCACGTCGGGGACGCCTCCTCTCTCTCCGCCATCACTAAGGAATGTCCCAGGAAGATTTCAGTAGGAGTAGTACCCCTACTGAGCCTCAAAGCCTATTTTTTTTTTTTGTTACCAAAATGCAGCAAACATAATACAACCTTTCTTTTACCTCCTGGGATGGATTCACCGGCCTGTGAGTTGGGCTGCTCGAACAAGAGGGGGCTTCCCGAAGCTCGTGGAAGACGTGCCTGTCTTTGGATTCCATGTAACCGTGACCTCCGTGTAGCCCCCACACAGAGATTTAAAACGGCTTTGACGAGAGAGGTTATTTCTCTCTTGCATATGCCACTGCGGGAATTAATAGCTCGAGGCTCCCACAGGGCCAGGGCCCCGGGCCCTTTCCATCCTCTCACTCAGCCACCCCTGGTGTTGCCCTTCTCTGACCCCCTAAGACCATATCACAGCTGGTGAAGAGGGAAAGGCGGGAGGGCAGAGCTTGTGCGACTCGGCGCCTGCCACTTCTGCTCCTGCTCCAGGGCCACATGCAGCCCAAGGCCATGGCAAGCAGTCACAGACTGGGCAGCTGTGGCCCATGTTGTTCTGCTGCTAAGAGAGAAGAGGAAATTGAGTGTTGGGGACAGCTTACGTGTCTGCCATGGTCATCTACATAAATCCTTTTTTTAAGTTTATTTATTTACTTGAGAGGCAGAGTTACAGAGAGGCAGAGGCAGAGGTAGAGAGAGAGAGAGAGAGAGAGAGAGAGAGAGAGGTCTTCCATCTACTGGTTCATTCCCCAAGTGGCTACAATAGCCGGAGCTGAGCCAATCTGAAGCCAGGAGCCAGGAGCTTCTCCAGGTCTCCAACGTGGGTGCAGGGGCCCAAGACCTTAGGCCATCTTCTACTGCTTTCCCAGGCCATAGCAGAGAGCTGGATCAGAAGAGCAGCTGGGACTCGAACGGGCGCCCATATGGGAAGCTGGCACTGCAGTCGGCGGTTTAACCCAGTATGCCACAGCTTCGGCCCCCATCTTCATAAATCTTAATCCTGGCTGCTCCACTGCATTGAGGTGGCCCCCGCAAGGACATATGAAGTGTGCAGGGCTGACCCCTAGCAAGGCCCCAGCTTGCCTGAGTTTACGGATTCCCCATCTCCTCGGTCACCACTGGCTGCCAGGCTGCCTCTCAATATGAGGTGTATTTGTCTCTTACGAGCCTACTTCCTAATCTGCTGACAGGTGGAAAACCAAATACCTAAGCTTTTTAAAGCTGCATGTTTTAAACACACACACACAAATCAGAAGGGATCCAAACGGAGCGTGGTATTTAATAGAATAGGTTGTGGGACCAGGCTGCCTGGGTTCAAATCCTTGCTATGCCACTTTCCGGGGTCGGCGCTGTGGTGTAGTGGGTAAAGCTGCCTCCAGCAGTGCCAGCATCTCATGTGGGTGGTGGTTCAAGTCCCAGCTGCTCCTCTTCTGATCAGGCTCTCTGCTATGGCCTGGGAAGGCAGTAGAAGATGGCCCAAGTGCTTGGGTCCTTGCACCCATGTGGGAGACCCAGGAAAAGCTCCTGGCTCCTGGCTTCAGATCGGCCCAACTCCAGCTATTGAGGCTATCTAGGGAGTGAACCAGCATATGGAAGATCTCTCTCTCTCTCTCTCTCTCTGCCTCTGCCTCTCTGTAACTCTGCCTTTCAAAAAAAAAAAATAAATCTTTAAAAAAAAATAACAGTAACTTCCCTCATTGGGTTGTTGTGAGGATTAAATAAGCTATTACATATGAAGCAGGATACCTGGCACACAGCACAGGCCCACTAAGGGGCAGCTATTATTATCTGCATGGAGTCAGCCTCCGATTCCACAGGCCCCACGTGTGAGAGCCCCTCGTCTGAGCAGAGCAGTGTCTCACTGCTCAGAGCCCTGTTCCCTCACTCTCCTGCTCTGGTTTAAAGCTGCTGGAGCTGAGGGGCCAGAGAACGGAGTGCCACTGTCGATTAGCAACGACTTGAACTTCGATATGCTTTATCTCACTCACATCCTGCATGCATTTTTAAAAGCATCCCGAAGACGAAGGAGTAAACTGATAAGAGGTGGAAACTGCATTACTGGTAGGGTTCTTAATACTGTATTTACAGGTCCATTCTCCAGACAGCTTACAGACAGACAGAAGCCCCATTTCCGGAAGGGATAATGGAACTCTCTGCTCTAATTTATTAAATACTTTTTGCAGAAGCGCTTCCCGTCATGTCTCCAGACCAAAGCCGGAGCCACTCTCTCCACGCTCGTCAGCTCAGATGGAGAGAAGGAAGCCACAGGGAAGTCATGTGCTCTGATAAGTGAGCCAGATCCACTCCCAACCGACACCTGCCCCTGTGTTCCAGACAGCAGCACAGTATCTACAGCTACCACTCCCACCTTCAGGAAGGGGTTTGCGCAAATAACCTTGTGCAAGGGAAAGGACTTGATCATAAACTTACCTGTAGAATAAATGAACGGACTAAGAAGCCAAGCACAGAGAAATAAAACTGATCTCAAAATAACGTAGCTCGACAGCAGGTGCACATGACAACGTTTATTAAAACAGAGTCTTAGAGTCTTAGAGCAAGCGTTGAGCCTAGTGGCTGAGACACCTGCCTCCCACATCGGAGCACCTGGCTTCAGGTCCTGGCTCTGCTCTTGGCTCCTGCCTCCTGCTAACGCAGACCCTGGGAGGCAGCAAGTGATGGCCCAGGTAGTTGGGTTCCTGCCACTCAGCAAGGAAACCTGGTTTGGGTTCCCAGCTCCCAGTTCTGGCCCGGACCCGGCCTTGGCTGTGGAGGGCATTTGAGGAGTGAACCAGCAAATGGACGAGATCTCTCTGTCTCCCCTTCTCAAATAAATTTTAAAAAATAATAAAAAAAATTTTAAATGGAGTCTATCACAGCATAGTGATAGCCTTTGTCACTGATAGTACAATGACTTAGAGGAAAACACAGCCTTAAAATATTCCTTTTGTTTCTTTGAAGGAACTAGAGAATATTATTTCATGTTACTCTCCATTCTATCTTGTCAGACTGCACTCAACTTTGAACAGGAAATTCATTTACCTAGCTTGCAAAATGAAAAACAATAAAGAAGACATCCAGGGAAAGCCCCCACCCCGCACCTGGCGGGCCCCTACCTCCACCAGTCCCAAGAGGAACTGTGGTTACTTCTTTTGTGCCCCACCCTCCAGTGCCACACAAGGGAGTGATGAGAGTACGCACTCTTCCCATGCCTTTGTGTGCAGGGGCAGCACAAAGCCACACTACCAGGCATGCTTTTCCTCTCACTTCTGGAGATCTGCATTACATCAAGCACTTCCTTAGGCCAGACTTTTCTCCAGGAAGGACAAAACCCTACACAGGATCCCCGACCTTGGCCAGGGCTGATGACAAACGTGGAGCTCCTGGAAAGCTGCTCTGACGCCGCCTCACTTGAGCTTCGCTGGCGAGTCAGGTGCACTGCGTGCGTGGTTCCCAGGGGCGGGCTCCTAGCTGCACTCTTTGTACATCTTCGCCCCTCCTCCCCTCCCGTTCCCAGCACCAAAGCGTCTCAGGCCAATGACTTGCAGGTAGTTTTCTAAACAACACGACTGGCAGCACAAACAACCACAGCTACAAGAAACTGCTAATGTTACATGGTTTTTACAACACACATGCACTTCTTCCAAATGAGGAAAAATATATAATAAATGCTACTTTTTAAAAATCAGTCAAGGGGCTTGGGGATAGCCACATCCCATATCAGAGTGCCGGTTCAAGTCTGGGCTCCTCGGCTTCTCACCCAGCTTCCAGCTAACATGTAGCCTGGGAGGCAGCTTAAGGACCTGGGTCACTGCCACCCACGTGATAGACCCAGATGAAGTTCTGGGCTCCTGGCTTCAACCTGGTCTAGCTCTGGCTACTGCTGACATTTGGAGAGGGAACCGGCATATGGAAGAGCTCTCTGCATCTGTGTCTCTGCCTGTAAAATGGCATGAAAATAAATAAATAAGGCATTTTAATAAAATAAAATAAAAACACATCAATAACTGATGCTGATCTGATAACATGTGAGCGATTGTGTATATTTACAGGTTCAGTGTAGTGCTTTGATGAATGTATACATTATGGAATGATTCAAGCAACCTGATTCATGTCATCTCATCTACTTACTACTTTTTTTTTTTTTGACAGGCAGAGTTAGACAGTGAGAGAGAGAGACAGAGAGAAAGGTCTT